ACAACGGGAAACTGAGTCACAGCGGCCCCGGGAGAGGCGCTGGGGGCTAACACCCCCGTCCCCGCGCTGCCGGCAGGGTGGTTCTTCACTGCAGCCAACGCGCAGCTTGGAATTGCTGTTACAGAAACAGCCCGAGCCGGGCTCTGGGGCTGAGCCTCCTCCTTTGGCAAGAACTTGCCTCGCAGCCGCGGGGGACGGGACGCACGGGACAGGTTTTGCTTCACCCGCAGCTCCCGGACCAGCCGCAGGGTTTTTAAACAGTTACACTTAACACCGCCGTTGCGTTTCCCGTCCGCTCATCCTGAAGCATCCCCCTTCCTTACTAAGTTTGCGAAGAGGTCGCAGGCTGGAACAGGCTGCAGGTGGTTCGGTCTTCATCGCCTGTTCGCTCCTGTGGGCGCAGCACTTCCCACGCTCACCCAGTCGGGGCTGTAATCAGCGCGGTTCAAGCACTCACCTGCCCGGGCCTTCCTGTTCCTGCTTACTCTACACTTGTGTACTATTAAGTAACTCGCCCCCAGAACGAGAAGAACTAGACCAAATTAACTCTGTTTTTGATAAACGCATCCATGGCTCCCCCAGAAAGAAAACATCAGTGACTCTCCTGACTGGCTCAGCGTCTGGGTCAGCACAACATGAGCACAGGCACAGAAAATGTTAACAGCTGCCAGATGAGAAGCAGCCTCCACCTGTTGTTTGTTTATTTTTTGCTGCTGGAATTCATTACTACTTTGCCCTTAATTTCCTTAATGTGTTTCTTCAGGGAGAGGTGCTTTGAGCCACTTGCCACTGCACTTTATTTCTCCCAGCAGAGGCACAAGGGGAACGTTTCAAATGGTCAAGGCCGTGTTTTGGAGCCGATTGTGGATTCCTCCTGATTGAGGGGACCCATCCAGGACAGTGGACCCAAAGCAGCCAAAGGGAGATTCCTGCTCAGTAGATAAACTGGGGGGAGTTAAGCAGGGGACCCCACAGCTCAGGGATGCTCTGGGCATCGGTCAGCAAGTGGTGAGGGATTGTATCATGCAGACCTTGTTTTGTATAGTCTATTATTATTTTCACTTCCTTCTCTGCCCTATTAACTTGTCTTCCCTTCCCCCCCCCCCCCCC